GCCTCCCAGAGTGCTAGGATTACAGGCGTGAGCCACCGCGCCCGGCCTAGATTAGATTTTTTAAAAAATTTAAGATAGTCTATATAAAATTCTCTTATGAAAAGGAAAACATTTGATAGGGGAATATATTCTCTCTGAGGTCAGTGATCATGTCTTATTACATTTTGGTTTAACATTGTGCTTTGTATAGTTGGTGCTCAATAAGTTTTTATTAAATACATACACAGATGCATATAGATGAAGATATTTGTGTCATTGCAGAATTAAAGCCATATGATTTTTTTTACAATGCTAGTCATTTAAAAAAATAAATAGTCCGTCATATAGAAGACTTTAAGATTTCTTTATTTAAACAGTCCAAATGATCTGCTGAACAAAATTCTCACCCTCCACGTTTTACAATTCTGCATCATACAGCAGCCACATGAAGTCCAACTGAACATTTGGCTGTAAAATAAAAGGGGACTCAGCAAAGTTATAATCTAATATAAAAGTATCAACATGTGACAAAACTTCTGACCCTGAAAGCATTGTATAACCTAATAAAAAAAAATCCCAAAATCGCTTTAGCTTCTGAAAAGCCTGAAGGAATCTTATAAAAGTATTTTTGCCATCTCAAGTCTTTAAATCACTTCAAAATTCACTGTGGCCTGTCCCTCTATGGGAGGGACAGAAGAAAATCTTGTTGGAAATTCAAAGCTGACTCACCCAGTCTAGGAGAAATAAAATAAAAGTAATATACAGAGCATTAAATTTGAAAAGTGATGGTTCCAAATAAGGAAGGATTCTAGCTACTCTAGGTTTCCTCTGGATCCAAAAGTTTCTTTTGTAGATTCCTTTCAGTGTCCAAATGGAAGATCCTTTGATGTTTCTGCCATCCTTATTTTCCTCCTAATGTACCATCCTGAAGACAATCTACTAATATGTCAATAAATTGGAGAGGGCTTTAATTGAAGATTTTTGTATTCACATTGAATTTGACTCAATTCAAGGCATGTGTATTGAGTGCTCATTCTGAGCTAGGAGAGATAAAACTGTGAGTAAACCTCAGTCCCTCAACTCTAATGAGGTTGAAATATGTATGAACACAGGTAATGCAAGATAGACTGTGATCCTTTTATTGGAAAGATAGGTGACGACACACAGTGGAGGCAAGGAAGTTAGTTTTCAAGCTGTTTAATTAGTTTAGGACTTTACTTAGGACAGTACACTTAATATGGAGGAATCAGATTTGGTTCAAGGTTAGGAGTGAGATAGAGGAGGTATCTAAGACTTTGAACCTGAGAACACAGGCGGGTGGTTTTGAATACTCACTGAAATAGAAATACTGGAGGATGGTTTGAGGCTAGGGAAGGTGGACATTTTTGAACATACTGAATATGCTGTGTCTTTTGGACATTAATATGAAGATATCCAGTCAATAGTTGGAAGTGAGGGTCTGAGCCCAAGAAATACATATGGAGTTGGAGATAGGCCCTTGTAGATCATTGGTTTAGAGGGCTGGTGATTAAGTCGTGGCAGTGAGTGGGTTTTGCAAAGTAAGACATGCAGAATGGCAAGATAAGGTCATCATCTCTCAAGGTTTCTCTTGCCTGCAGTGGGCTTGAGAATTTCAATTGCTTTGAAATTACACATTGCCAACAAACCTTTATTCTGCTTATTTAAATCTACTTTATACATATTAGTTTTTATTTACTTATTT